TTGATGATATAAATGCTTCTATACTTGAAAAGGTGTCAGTCTTTATCACTGATACAAAAAGATTCCTTAACCACCATTAGTTGTTTCTGTACTGTGAATAATAAAATTCATCTTGCTTACAAGTCTTTCTAAAAAAAAAAAAAATAGAAAAAAAAAATTAATATAATTCTTACTTTATAAATTGATAAAATAAATTGATGAATGTAGGTGGTTGGATGATGATGAAAAAATGATGACTTCTGCTGAAAATAATTAACTATATACAAAATATGTACATTGTATTATCTCCTAGTGTTGCATGGCAAGGATCAAAGGTCTGCTGGGGTGAATGACCAAAGCCAGTGTATGGCTAAGGACTTTGTATGGTCAGAATCCCTAGTAGCTTATGGATCTCTTGCTGCCCATCACTGGGGGATCCTTTGTCTAAATAAATGAGGCATATATATATTTATTTAACTAAAACTTCTATGGGAGTTACTCCCCTTGCATCACTATTTCTGTAACTATTTCATGTACCATTTCTTTCTATTTCTTTCTATATATAGTTTATATTTGTTTGTAATTCTGGCTAGGAGAGGACTTATATAGGCATAGCCTGTTGTCCAATCCTTTTGATTTTTCAATAAAATTTACTGAAATGAAAAAAATTAAATGATACTCTTCTATTCAATAGGAGAGTATCGCATTGAACACCATTGGCTCGCGAAGTTGACTTAACCCATTCACACCTTAAAATTCATAATGAACTATTCCGACCTTCGAATCGGAAGAGTTCAAATGTGTTTTCAGGGGCCACAGAATGCGTCTTAGACTGTTTGATCTAGATCTAAAACTAAATGTAGACACAGTTGCTAACCTCTGTCATAACTTAACATATCGTTAACTTACATCAATTAAATCAAAACATCATTATTTGTTTAGTTCGGACAATGATAAATGTCTATATCTTAGCAGAGAATGGCAACTACACCAAATCGGGCATCAGGGAACGAAGCTCCGGATGGTCCAACAGCTAAAGGTAATTCAGAAATTAGATAACAATACATTACATTTACATTCTGCTTTGACCAATTGACGAAAATGACATTCATTTTTCCATAACACATGTGACCTCATCACTGCGTAGTTTTGTTATGCGGATATGATTAACATTAAAAGTGATTGGTTTGATTTAAAAGCTAGAATAAGATGTGTAAAGTACTTGATAATGATAAAATATATGACTTGCATGAATTATACGAATTAAATTTTTGAAAATGGAACTATTTTTTTATTTTGTTTTGTTGCCATGCTGTTGCTAGGACCCTGAGCGAAAGTTTTACATTTTCCCGCGAAACACGCTGTTCTCTCTGCTGCGTTGCCCCCATGCATAAATAGAAAAAAAAATGACTGATTTTTATTTTATTTATGATTGCATCGGAAAATTTAAAGCACTTCAAAAGTGTAAATATAGGTCAGAACAACTTAAACGTAATATTCGTCATTTATCCCAAAAGTTGATTCATAACAGTTCATTTATCGCTTTCAAATATGATTATATTATTACTATTTAATGGAGACTGACAGGATTGGGACTTGTTATCATGACTATTACTATAATTGATTTCCTCAACAAATATGTTATACTAAAAATTATTTAATTCCCTTCAAATGTTAGTGTATTATTTTTTGTATTATATTAATTGACCAAACAACAATTAAATTGAAGAATAAAACTATTATAGATAATCTCCAGTCTGCGAAGGACGAGTATCAGTTGGTGGAATCCGTCCGAGGCCTTCCCTCTAGAGCAAGTATTTTACGCACTCGTTAGTTTATTATGTATATTCAATATTATGTATGCTTAGCAGGTCGACACTTTGTAATTTTAATTATTGTATCAAGATAAGAGGAATATCACTGATGTCGACATGGTGGTTTTAAGGAGATTGTTTTTTTTTATTATATCACAATAACGACTATGTGGAGATCGGGCATGTTTCATCTTGAAAATAAATGTACCATGTTAACTGAATAGTATTAACGTATTTTCTTTTTACAGGTGAAAACACTGCCAAGACAAGAGAGGTTTAACTGTTTCGAGAAGGTTAATATTTCATTCATTTTTATATTAAATTACATATACACGTATACAGACCAGCTAACTACTGTGAGTAGTTTCGGAAACTAGTAATATATAAACATACATGCACTTATTGAGTGTAACTTTGTATACATATCCAATATACTAAAATATTATTCAAATACAAATGCAGTTAAAACAAGATTCGAACAATCAATCTTAAAATGTGTACAGAATTAGTTTAAAGATTTTCCGTGCGTAGAGTTGTTGTTTTCAACGAAGCAGTGATCAAGAAAACGAAAATTTGAAATTTATTTTTCATGAATCCATTTCATGAAACAGAAACTTTATAAAATTTGGCATTTGTCCCTACTGTTTCTGCATTTATATCCTAAAGCAGCGATGTTTTTTTTCTTCTCAGCTTCGCGCCGGGGTTCTTCTTATTGTGTTGGGTATTGTCTACCTCATCGATAGATTTCTCACTCGGAGATGGGATAAATTGTCAGACCTTTTGAATGCGTATAGATGGATAGTTCCCAAACCTCCAACGGTAAGTACAGGCGGAGTTCATGTTTAATCATTTGCCGACAATCAAACAAATGTGACCATATTTCATCTCAGTCATTACAAAATAGTTGTTGGTCTTAAATAATTAACTCAAAAGGATGAGTTACACAACCAATAACAACCTCGGTTGATTTTCAGTTGTCCAACGCTCGGCAGAACCTAACAAACACAGCTAAAAACCTCATCCCTCAAGTTTGAGATTTCTCTGTCCAATCAACTCTCTTTTGTATTAATTAACTATTATCTTCGGAATGAAACATTGATTTTTTTCAGCCTGAAATTTGGAGAGATGATGCGTTCTTTGGAAGGCAACGTTTAGTTGGTGTTAACCCGTTCGTCATCCGACTCTGTACAGCAATACCAGGGTAAATAATAGAACAATGATAACAAAGGAATTTAATTCACTTTAGAGCAACCTCAGAATAATATCAAAAACCTAGCAGATGGATACCTAATACCATCTTACTACATCTACTATCATGGATAACATCTTATTACAAGTACTACCAAAGATAACATCTTTTTACAGCTACTACCATACCATCTTACTATATCTACTGCCAAAGATAACATCATACTATAACTACTAGCATAGATACCATCTTATTACAGCTACTACCAAAGATACCATCTTACTACAGCTATTACTATGGTTCCATCTTACTGCAGCTACTATCATAGATAACATCTTATTACAGCTATTACCATACCATCTTACTACAGCTACTATCATAGATGACATCTTACTACAGCTACTTCCAAAAATAACATCTTACTACAGCTACTATCATAGATAACATCTTACTACAGCTACTACCATAGATAACATATTACTATAGCTACTATCATAGATACCATCTTACTACAGCTACTACCTTAGATACCATCTTTCTGCTGTAACTGTAGTAAGATGGTACCTGATGTATTAGCTGAAATAAAATGGCATCTAAGATAGTACTTGTAGTTAGGCGGTATCTTAGGTAGTAGCTGTAATAAGTTTGTCTCTGAGGAAGTAGCTGTGTATTATGGGTTTTGTAACTGTAGCTGTAGGTTAATTAATGTACAGCTACAGTCTGTTGTCACGTCGCTAAATTAATTCCATTATAATTTTTTAAAATGATATTTAACCTTACATGTATTTCCTATTTTGCTGTTGTTGGTTTTTTATCATACTTTCACATTATGTAATGATTATAACCTTACCGTTAGACATTTGTTTTCAGAAACATGAAAGAAAACGTTAATAAACGAAGGGAATTCCTACAGAAGGTTTTACAACAGAAATCTGGGAAGACTGATTTCACCTTGGATACAGCCATCCAAGAAAATAGACTGTTCATTGTGGATTACGACATTCTAGACGGGATGAAGGATACATTTGGAGTAAATAGTCTCGTCAAGATAATTTTACACGTTTTCACCTGAAAATTAGCATTGAAAAAACATATTTGTTTCTTGTAGTGCAAAATAAAATACATAAAATAAGATAGATATGTATTCTCAATATGAAATATAGTAATACAGGATTAATGACAATGTAATGCTTGACTGTTTTATTTTCATTCAGCTATGTTCTCCAATTGCATTGTTCCTGGTGGATGCTGAAAATGAATTAATGCCCATCGCCATACAGTTGTACCAAACGGGAGAAAATAACCCGGTAAGTTTTCCAAAGAAATCTTAATGGATCATTGACTTTGCTTATGGCAATATATATATCATTACTTAGCTGAGCCAACGCTCGAAACGCTTTACAATACCTATAATGAGTAAAACCATATCGTTAAGTATGATGTCAATATTCAGTGTAAACTTATCTACAATCCATCAAAACAGCACAACATAACATAAAATATTGATTGACAAAAATCTTTTATGCAAACACACAAACTACGTAAACATAAGACAATACAACGTATATACAACGTCAAGTTAATACTAACGACGTAAACATGAATCAGCACTTACATTTATTTAAAAATCGACGTTGTTACAAAATCATTTTTTTTCCTGATTTATGTGATCACTCTGCATTATTTTTCAGATGTTTCTGCCCGAAGATCCAAGCTGGTTGATGGCAAAACTGTGGTTTAATCATGCAGACAGCTCCTACCAGGATTCGTTCTCTCACCTTGGTAAGCAATATACATAAACAGCTTTATTAAATCGATGGCATTTACCATGTTTTTACAATATAGTATAAAGGCAGTTACAGTTATTTGTTTTACTTTGCATTCGATAAATTAAAGTCACTGTGTTAAATGTATATAAAGTGATCGGTATATATATCTGACTTTCTATTTATCAAGATTACATTTTGCAGGTGTCACCCATCTACTGATGGAGAGTGTTGATGTAGTGACACATCGGAACTTAACAACGACACATCCTGTCTACGAAATCTTGGCTCCACATTTTCTTTATCTACTGGCTATTAACACGTAAATGAATACTTTTACGTAAAAGCATTCTAAAACCAGTATTCCGTCTTTTCATATTGCAGAGTTATCTGCTCTTGTGAGCAGGTATTGATTGTTACGTCATTAGTTTGTGCGAGAAAATTACGTCGTTTTCTCAAAAATTGGTGACGTTACTCTCACAAACAAATGACGTAACAATCAATACCTGCTCACAAGAGCAGATAACTCAGCAATACGAAAAGACGTGATATTTCACAAAGCAACTTGTAATAAACGAATCACATATTATATTTTGACAACAAACATTTGGCCTCCATTTAATCAGAGGTCAGTAGTTTGTCTATGATAAAAACTGCAGGGGATAGCAATACAAATGATTTAAAGCTGTCAACTAGTGATAATCTGTTCAGCATTGACGAAGTGATATTGTGCACAACTGTGATTGTGTGATATTGGCTATAGTTTTGGTTTAGAAAAGTTGTTTACATGATTATTTAGTAACATTGTTGACATGATTGTTTTAGTAATTTTGTGTACAACTTATATATAGTCATATAATGTGCAAGTTAAATTGTATTAGTAATATTATAAATTGTGTGCTGCTTTGATTGTGTTATAGTGTGGACAGTTATTATTAAAAATATTGTGTATACCTTTGATTTACTAATACGGCGTTTAAATACTAAGCGTTAATTTCCTGAAAAGGTGTTTTGAAAATATACACTGTGACAGATACGTTCAGTCTAATATGCATTGTTATGTCTATTGTGGCCAGCACGCATGTGTGCAATTTACATTTCCAAGATATGTTAGGCATTTTATATAGTGACAGAAAACCAGACGATTTGTAACAATAAATATTTCAAATTATTGCGTTTGTTATATAGAACAATTTAATTCCAAATTGTTTAACTGTAAAAGGAATTTCATTCTTAGGAAGGCAAGAGATTACCTGATCAATAAAAATGGAATCGTAGACGAGACTAGGTCGATCGGCAGAGAAGGAACGTTCGAGATCATCCGAAGACAGTAAAATCTTTTACCATCGTTTAACAATATAAATCAGACAGTATTTATTCTGTAAATGATCAACTTACTTAATTGGGCATTTAAGCAGAAATTATCATAACAAATATTTATGAGGGTTTCATTAAAATCTTACATTCAATTTGGAATAATCACCAGTTTTGATGATATTAAACTATTTATATATTCTTTTTTCGAGTTTTTCAAGTTTTCGAGGGAAACACCATGAAAAAAACCTTTATTTATATAATTCCTTTTACATCAGATTGTTGAAATGGAGGATGGATGAAGATGGGACATTGCCACGGGATCTTGAGATAAGAGGGGTATGATTATATATATATATCATTTCACGTGCTTCAAACACAATATTGATTTAATGTACTTGGGCTATTTACCGAGTATCTAACGTTACCACAAATAGTGAACATTATTTTATTCCTTGATAAATACATTGATGAACCCATTTGTGCACAAGTAACAACATAGTAGTCTTTCTTTGAGTTAAAAAGCTGCAAGAAGGTTAGCAAAATCTATGTTTGAACAACAACAAAAACTGCAGTTATCGGTGTTGATTTTTTCTATCATAAATTTCAAAAATATAAAAGCATGCAAAATCACGTTGTAAAGAAAGGCATTGTCTTTAAACATATTATATGTGACAACTAGTTATTAAATGTACAGGAAAAATGAGCCTTTGAAGAAATCTGCTTGTGCAAAATCATACAAAAGAATGAAATTGAAGTAAGAATGTTTTAAGTCAAGTCATAGTTTCACTTTTCCCTCTCAACATTCAAGTATCCAATTACTTCCTTCAAATGTATTATACCTTATCGTAATCCCTGTAATTTTAATTTAGAAATAGCATATAGCAGTAATCTATTCAAGGGGGAATAAATAGAACAAAAAACATATAGCTTACAAAATGTATGAAAGTCAAATACTTTATTCGAATAGTTATTTGATTGCTGAAATATGTAAACAGTGCGGTCAATTTTCATGACATAGGCGAAGATTACAAACCATGTTAGCTTAAACATCCAATAATTTGAACTTTGCTCATGGTCCGTTAAGTTGGACTAATGCTAAATGATGAGCTAAACGGTTTTATAAAAAAAGATACGTGTACATCGCTTTTCCTTTGATTTGGGTTATGCTGACATGTGCGTGTGTTTTAGGTGGAAGGGGAAGGTACTCTACCTGGCTACTATTACCGCGATGACGCACTTCTCGTCTATGACGCTATACAGAAGTATGTCCATACATATATCCACGTTTATTATGATGGTAAGTACAAAACTTAATTATATAATTTCAAAAAATGCCGGACATATCATTTTAGGATTAATGTCAATAACTTATAGTTCAAAATATATGTTTCGCGCTGATGACCTTTTGAGTATGCAATTAAACTATATGAGTGTTGCTCGTTATTTACGAATTCAAATAATCAAACGATCATCTTTTTACGCATTGAGGTGAAAATGTGTTTTCCTAAAAGAAAAATGGATATTTAATGTGTCGATGTCTTCAAAATTGACACCAATTTACTTTAAAACCTTCTTCCTCGGTCCCTAATTATCGCGTGTTTTATAAAATGTTCATAGTCAGGAAATATGTTTTATTGGTATTTCATGTCTCGTTGTATTATCAAAATATGACATAATTAGGACAGATTAATTTGCTATTTATTTTGTGGGTAATTTTTTTCGCGAAATATTCTTAACGCAAAAACCATGAAAATTATATCTACGCGAAAACAATTACAGTGATTAAGCTGCCATCATGTTTAAGGCACTTTAGTCTACAAATAATCAGATTGATTCAGAGTTAACACTAAGCAAATGCACTTTATCTTTGATGGAGCGATATCAGACAAATGGCTTTTAATTTAACCATAATCTAATAATTTAGCAACACCAGAATCTGAGAATGTTATTTATGCATGTATTGTATGTAAGTTGTCTTCGGTAGACTAGGTATTCACTTATACAAGATAGTTAACGTTTCGTTATGTGAATCGCTTTTGAAAAAATGTTTGTTTTATGCCACAGATAAAAATATACGTTTTTGATATAAAATTTCAATCCGTTACATGTAGATGACGGTTATAATGGCAAACACCAAGTAAGTAATGATGCACAAATACAAGCCTGGGTAGCGGCACTGATTGCTAAAAGAGAACCTGTCAACGGTGGCTGTGAAATCAAGGTAAGTTTTTTCATCATAGTCCGATAAAAGGCCATTGCTTTCTTTAATTCTATGTATTATTTAATTTTTTAAATTATAAATTATTAAATATTTCGAATGACTCATTTGTTTAAAGTTATATATATGTATGAAATATGCATTCTTTAGATGCAATAACAATTTAATTCTTGCAGGGCATTCCATTAGATAAGAATGGTTCGACTATATCTACCTGTGATCAGCTGGTACAAATACTGACCAGCACCATATACATGTGCAGTGTGGGTCACGCCGTCACCAATTTCCCACAGTACGAACAGTACGGCTTCCAGCCAGCCTACCCCGCGGGCATGAGAGGGTCACCACCTCAAGATCCGGTACGGCTTAATATCCATATAGAGATTCAATTTATCACCTCAAAATTTTTGCCACAAATACATTTGACCATTTTTCTACCAAAAGAGAACTTAACATAGTAATGGCTGCTGTTCAATCCTATTCGTGTACCCGCCATCTGATCTTCCGCCAGTGTTGAATGCTCCAATGCACATTTACTTAACGGTCATGCATACTATTCTCTATTCAATTTTCTAATAGTATTACCAACACAGATACATAAATGTATTTCACAGCTGCAATTGGAACCGACTTTTTTTTACTTTAACAACAAATCACGATACAATGCATACCAAAGTATTACGTTTATATAGATAAATCTTTGTACTCCTATTGTATCAAATACATGCTTCAGATTGGAATAGAATTCTGAAGCATGTGTTTTGTTTTTTAAACATATTATCTTTATTTTAAACAAAGAACATCATGGTAACTGAGACAGCCATCATCAAAGCGATTCCGCCCAAAATCACTTGCCTGTTGGAAATGGTCGTTATGAAGTTTCTGAGCACAAGGAACACCCGCTGCTTGGGAAATTTCATCACGAGAGATAGTATACCGCTTAAGGCAGACGATGCGGTGAAGCAGTGAGTATTTGTTTTTATACGCCCAAATTTTAGTTTCCGCAAAATAACTTGCTTAAACATAGTTGGTTATTGATGAAACTAGGCATAAATATACATTATACGAAGAGTGAGGCTAAGTTCGAACTTGATCTAAATTCGCGCATAACGAATTAGCATACTGTGCTTTGATTGGTCATTCTTAAATTAAGAATTATATTGTACATTATACAAAGTCTGGAGCTAAGTTCTGAGTTGAACAGATTACTATACAATAGAAATATCTTTGGTTTTAAGGGTGCAGTATAAATCGATTATTGGCAAAAAGTGACATTTCGTGGTTTGAAATATGTACAAGGGACAGTTGCAACGCTGTTTTTAAAATGCCATACTATGAAATATAGTATTTCTTCAGGGTAAGTTAGTCAAGAACAAAATGTTTTCTCCTCTTTCACCACATTCCAGGAATAGCTCTCAACTTAATGCAGAACCAATGTTGTTTCTTCTCCGTTCATTCCCGTTTTTTAGCATAATGCATCAAATGGATTTTAAGTATGTCAGATTGGTTTGGAACGGGCGAATATCATCCTGCCCTGTGGTACTCTTGTTAGATGTGTTGACAGTTGATATGTATTCTAGTCAGTATAATATAAAACGTGCAGTATGGACCACGTGATAACGAACTTTCCAGACTAAGACAGCATGCTGAAGCTCGTCTATCCTTACTTCGAAATCCAAGGGTCTCGTTCTATCCTCTATCTTCTGGAATATGTCATGCCAAATTCGATTAGTCATTTAATTGGTTCGAAACATGAAAAATCGACAGGTTGCTAGACTGACTCCTGTCTGCTAAAGATAACAAAGGAGTTACTCACTAATCAAAGTTATGTTCATTTACCGTTATGCTGCTAGGCGATTTGTTTTGTCGTGTATCAAATATATCACAGTTATGCAAGATGTAACAGTTTTCAGACTAGTCAACTCGTGTAATTCGCAAGGGACCACTTACAGAACCTTCAATCGCGACATATAACAGGGATGTAAAGAATAGATGAAGAGAGGGAATCATGGATTTAGAAGATGATATATTTGGTGTTGCATAGGATTACTTTGTATAATGGTATTAGCTTCTGAGTAAAGCTTGGTGGTCAATTTCAACTATCAATCCCATGGTGAACACTCAATCTCAAAAAGCCAAAAGTTCTTAATGTCAAATTTGTAGCAAAAGGTTTCATATCGTAGAACAAAATCTGAGATATAACGTTGTTATGGATGTAGAGTGTGATTAATTTAATTATATTTGGAGAACTGTTCGCGGAACGAAATGATATTTTAAACAACATAAGGAAAATAACTTCATTAACTTGCGTTTTTGAACTATTTTAACGTTACTGAAGTGATTTTCGTAAATCACATTTACGATTTGACAATTACCAATATTGATAAAACGGTTCTTCTTTTTCGATAGATAACATCTCCCTGAAAAACATTGTTTTATAATATGAGAAAATAATTTCAATATTTTTTATTTTAGGTTTAGGAAAGATTTGAAAAAAGCTGCTGTAAGAATTGAGGAAAGAAATAGCACAAGAACTCATCCTTACCCTTGGGCAAGCCCCGACAACATTCCGAATTCTATCAGCATCTAGCTTCAACATCACCCCAAATTTCCTGGGCACCTACCACGACTACTGACGACGCTTTGTCGTGACTAAGCAGAAGTTTGTGTTGACAAATATAAAAGATATTAAATATAAATGAACTGTCACGATCTAACGTAAATTTTGTAATTTTCAGTAGTATAACGAGAATAAAGCAGAGAGAATATAGTGAACATCATTGTTTATTATATTATTGTCTCGTCGACACGCTATGTGTTGATTACTCTGTTAATCTTCATGTAAAACGTCCAAGTACTCCTGTCGAGTTGTTCGAGGAAATCACAAACAATTCTGTCTCAGACTACTGCCATGTGTGAACGACTTCTCCAAAACTAATGAACGAGGTTTGGATGATATTGTAAGTATTGTTTATCAACAGAAAACAGATATATTTGTTGTGTACTCGCCAAAATGCGAATCCACCAAAAAATTAATTGACGGTATTTTTTTATATTATTAGTTTGGTGTATGTAGTATAACAATACATAGGCTTGTATGAAAATATTTTTACTTTAAAGACAAAAAGCAGAATTTGTGCAAAAACGAAACAAGTGACAGGTCATAAACTCCCTAAATGACATCAATGTAAAATTACAGTAAATGTTTTTCGAATATTGAGTGCTGTGTATTTTGAAAACTGTCTACAATTTAATATTATAAATAGCAATACACATACATTCAGTTGTATTTTTATACCAGTAAACAACCGAAATATTCTGATTAAATGAAAACACCTAATGAGAAAAAAATCTAAACTGATAGGCCAAGTTCGTTCAGACAATACCCAGGGGAAAATACTGGAATTTGAGTGCAGTGGGGCATTTCCAGCAGTTTTGGTCGATATCAAAATTAAGAGGGGCCAGTCTATGTACAATTAAAAGAAAATTGAAGAATAGAAGGGTTAATTTCAATTTTGAGGGGCCAATGGCCTCATGGCCCCCTCCAGGATTATTCTTGAATACCTATATAAACACATATCTACAAGACATGCGTTTGTTATCTCTAGTCTTAATCGTCGACAAAATGACCTGGATAGCGAAAGAAAAATTATAAACCTGCAAAAAACTTTCATTTGATGAGAAAACAAATCCTTGTCTGATTACCCTTGTCAGCAGCGCTTAATTAATTTCTTAGGGGTTGGGCCCATACGCGGTTTATATACAATAATTCTGACAATTACAAAAAGACCGTCTGTTTTTGGAAGACAGTGAGCCACACGAGCGTTCTCTAGAAACCATTCTATTTTCGGAATATATAGTAGATGGAACACGAACAGGTTGGGTTGGGTTGGGGCAATGAAAATGTACCAGGCACACATTATCCAATATTTTTATCGTACCAGTTTTATTTATTTATACGGAATTAATACTGTTAGATTTGTCAAACATATTTAGGTCGTGAGCGGAAATATGATTCCCACTTGGAGTCGAAGGCATACTTTGAAGCCCGGTCTATTTTCAAAGATGTCTACTCTCAAAATGGATATGACTGTAAGGAATCCAAAGCTTATTCCTAAAACCAGCCCATCTTTTCTAATATGGCTTATTATCAAGATTTTGTAATGTACAATGTATTTAAGATATGATATGCAGGTCATGTTGGTAAGTAATGTTATGGAATTTTTGAAAGAACCATGTGTGATCAACTGACTGCCTTTTTTAGTAATGTTTTTCATCCTTTGCTTGCAGCCTTCCGACCAGGATTTGGGTGTCAATCTACCCTGTTGCGACTTGTTGAGGATTGGCGTAGAGCCCTGGACAACCATGTGTATGTCGCTGCCATACTGATGGACCTGTCCAAGGCTTTTGACTGTCTTCCTCTTAACTTGTTGGTCGGGAAGCTGGAGGCCTATGGCCTGAGCAAAGCCTCAGTTAACCTGGTGTCCAGCTTCCTGAGCAGCAGGGAGCAGCAGGTAAAAATTGGCTCCAAATGCGGTGACTGGCTGGAAGTGCTGAAGGGGTACCCCAGGGTTCTATTTTAGGACCCTTGCTTTTTAAAGTATTTGTAAATGATATGTTTTTATATGCGACATCCTATAAATTATATAATTATGCAGACGACAACACTGTCAGCGAATCAAATAAAGACCCAGATGCTTTAAAACATAATATTGAAAATGACTGTCAAAATTTAATAGACGTGTTTAAATTAAACCAGATGAAAGCAGACCCTGATAAATTTCAGGCCATTTGTATAGGGAAACGTTCGGTAGATGCTATACCGTCTTTTAGTATTGGCGAAATATATATTGTTCCTGACAGTGTTGTCAAACTTTTAGGTGTGAACTTTAATTCATTTTTAAACTTTGAAGCTCATATCATTGAAATTTGTAGGGAAGCCTCAAGGCAATTGTCCATTTTAAAGCGAATTGGGAGTTTTTTAACCAAACAAGGTAGACTTGTAATTTATAATTCATTTATTGTTTCAAATTTTAACAACTGTCCTTTATTTAGTCTGGCACTCTTGTTCCATGAAGAGTGTCAGAAAGTTAGAAAAGATACAAGAAAGAGCTTTAAGGTTTATACATAATGATCACAACTCATCCTTCAGACACTTATTCAGTATCACCAACAGCGACAGGCTTCATGTAAGGCGTCTGACGGAAATGGGCTGTGAGGTTTTTAAAATTATAAACAAAATTTCTCCTGAATATATTCATAATCTTGTAAATATTAAGATGTATAATTATGACTTCAGGAAAGAAAATACTGCAAGTGCCCAGGGTCAACACTGTGAAGCATAGACATAAATCGTTTGCTTTTGAGGCCGCCCGGGTTTGGAACAGTCTCCCAAATGACTTCAGAAAAGTTGAAAACTTCAAAGAATTCAGGAGGCTGGTCCATTCCTGGGATGGCCCCATCTGCCTTTGCATTATCTGCAAAGAGTGATACTTCATACTGTGCCCTGGTTACCTCTGCCATCTGACATTTTGGATTGTGTGATACTTTTATTGTCTTATCTCATTTCTTATATGTTTTAAATCTGTTCTATAATTTTGCTGCATCTTATTTGTATTTTAATTCCATATATTCTAAAAAGATTTTTTTTACAAAACTTGATAAATTTTGTTAATTGATTTCGGTATCATTTTTTATTCACACTATAATAGTGTATATTCTGAAAACATCATAAATCAAGCAACGTTACAAATGTTACGATTGTACATTTAAAACAAACCATTGCTCTGGAGAGCTGTGTAACAGCGAAATGCCCTGAGAATCGGTCTTCTTGTGATACTTAAATATGTTAATTGCATTTTGGGATATAGGACACAGAACTATACTGATGTTTTTTTTTAATTTTGAATGGAAATATCTCCAATTTGTTTTTTTGAAATATATGTTTTGATTTGATAATTTTATAACCTCAAGTATTTTAAATCTGTGTATTTTAAAAAGATTAATTAAGTTATAAGCCTCTAGTTATGCACTTCTAATAGTATTATTAGCTTTTGATGATGTGACTTTATTTGATTATGTTGTAAGAGATAATTTGGAGTTGACATTTATTAACTTCTATCTTCTGTCTTTTTCATATACCATATACGTATGTTATTCTTTCGAGAAGTGGCCATGGTGTAATGATGGCTATTTCAAATTGTATTTTCTTTCTGCCTCAGCTTCAACATCAATCATACAACAGGTTTAATAAAATACATAATAAAACAAAAGTCTGTGAAAATAAATCTGTTTTCATTTCATTTAGGAGATATCAGAGATTTACAGGGGTGGTAATATTTTATTAAGATTGAAAATATAGTAAACAGGTTTTTATATTTGGGTGTAGTTTATCCACCTTTATAAGACATTGATCAATTAAATGGGTTTTTATATTTGGGTGTAGTTTATCAACTTTTATTAGGCATTGACAAATTTTGTTGGACAATCTACTTATCAAAAATGGAAAATTATAAGTCAAAACTAAATTTTAACTAACCGACAGAATATATTTGCAATCTATTTGATCATTTGCTGTCACCTGAGTTGTGCCATCGGAGCCTACATATTTAAAAGCTTGTGAACAATAAATATAGCTCATGAACTGCCGAACAAAATTTAGTTCATATTCACATCATAGTATGGTAATATCTGATTCTACACTTGTATATATTTTGTTGGGTCATCAGTCAAGGTTAGGCGTCTAGGGTCAAAGTCACACCACTTTTGAAATAAAAATATCATGTACTTGACATCTCACGAACCTCTATACAAATTAACTTTATAGTTATACTATAGTATGCAAACATTGAGTGCTATACCTGATAAGGTGTTGGTGGTTATCTGTCAAGGTTAAAGGTCTAAGGTCACGGACAAAGTGGGATATATATATATATATATGCGAGCCTCAGCCAAGTTTGCTTCAATTAACACTTTTTGATACGTGAAGCAATCAAAAGAATAGACCAAACAGGCTTACTGAATGTATTTAAAATTAAAGTTAATAACAAATTTTGTTTAATTGCAGAAACAAAACTATCTGAGTCTGCACGCACTAAATTCTTGTGAACTAGCTAATACAAGTCAGAATATAAACAATCTCTAAACGTAACGAAAATTGAGGTACGGCGTTTGCAAAATATACAAACCCAAATACATGTGCAGAAGGTTCTTGTGTCACCTTCACTGCAGAACATTTGTAGCTACACAAACGATTACTTTTCTTCGGCTAATGCCATTCATTCGACTTAAATCTTTTGATTCGTTTTCTTTTTCCTAATCTTCATAATTTATTATTGTGGTTTTCATCTAACTACTAAATACACATTGTAGAACTTTACAAATGATACAAAAATGATTTGTTTATCAAGTTATTCTATTCCACTGGAAAAATGCTCCGATATATGTAATAGCAGAATAATTGTAATAACAACAAAACAAATGAATTATTTCATTTCATTTATTTGAATGAAATTTGTGATGCACTTCATCTACATTTGATCACGCCTTACAGACAATATCCACGTATTTCTCTGGCTTTGCATTATGCCATGGCTTTCATACATCACTTCGACCATAATTCAACCAGAACCTCCATATATCATCCCTAGATCAAGTTCCCAGTCCCCCTCCTATTTCAACCTGAAGGAGAGTAAAGACTGAAGAAGGATGTATGGGGAACGTCAACATTCATACACACTTAGACACACTTAAATAAAATAGGATGCCACAGTAGGCTCTCTTACTGACATCTAATTATCATGGTTGTAACAGAAACAATTTAAAAATTTGAATGAATTGATAATAATGAAATTACATGTGAGAAATTGTCCTTTGCTGAATGACAATTTTATCATAAAATGCACATTTAAGTTAATGTAATAGGTGTACTGTCTAATTGAGTGAAGGGGAAAAAAACTTTGACAAAATGTACAAGATTGGGACTTTTTCTCAATCTAATGAATCGCAGACACTAATTAATAAACCATGAATCTGTATTAAATCAATTCCATTAAACAACAAACACAGTCAAAGAGTTGCAAGCCATGCTTGAATGCACTCCATTGAATAACAGTGATCAGGAAAATGTAGTGTTTATGAAACACAATAGTTCAATTCAAAATTGAAATCCCTGAATTATTTTATACGATTCATCAGAGACGGATCATGGACGAAAACCAAAACAGCCACACAGCTATAGAGGACGAGGAGCCAAGCTTTGTAAAATGTACAATATCAGGGGTAAAACGGTCTGCTGCCAGCAGGTATTTACAACTATACAAAATAAATATCAATTTACATTAGTTACAGGAATAAAATAAGCTACTATTGTTTTGATATAAAAATTCAGAAGAATCCAAATTTAAAACGTTTAAAGATTAAAGATCAGGTATTCTTTAAGAATGTACACACTATAAATAGCATAGACACTGGGCAGAAAGCCACATTTCATAAATAAGTTTGAATATTACACATGTTCTCACTATGTACATCCGATCAATCGTACAAACATTTATAGTAACATACTGTACACAAAGCAAACTTGTTACATTGACTCATAAAAAAATCATTTCTTGGAATCTTTCTCCAGAATCTACATCAATGCTGCAAAGTTTTTAAGAAAAAACAGCAGTAGAAATGTCTATTTTTTAAGTTATAAGTTTCAGTTAAAATTATGCATAGCCCACCAATTATTTCGACTATTACTTGAAAAACAGCAAATTTTCTGTCACACAAACATTAGTCATTATACAGTACATCATTACAACATAACCATAAAATACCAAACAAACCTTAAGTTGGAAAGGACAACATTGATTATGCTTTTTTAACACTAATTTTGATACTTATATGTTGCTATGGTTGATAATAGCTCAACAATGACTCCGAACAAGTCCTAGAAAAGGTGTAGAGAATTTTTCTTTTCATTAAATTTAGCACTATCACTCACACTGTATTTATCAAACTTTTAAACTCTGATCAAATGTGAACTCTTTATCCATCTGTTTCTTAATTCATAACTGGATTAGTTGTACTTGGTATATTTCTTTATTGGTCACAATTTACTTTGACCAGTTACAATGGTATAGATCAATCGAGTGCGCCATGTAAATGTATGCTACTGCATACCAGGAATATTTTGCCTAGTGAAACTTTTGCCCTTTTCCCATCAATTTAATTTTCTCCCAACATCAATTTCGTCATTCACATTAAATTACTATGTATATTTAGGGGATAACCTACTGCATTTTGAAATTTGCAGCAGTATAACGTGATTATAATATATACTGTCGCAAATTGAGTTTTACTGGTGACGCAGAGCAGAGCATGGTTATAATGTTGCAAATTATTTGGATTGACCAATCAAATCGCATGTTTTATCTCAGATGAATTAGAATATGTTGTTTTTCTATATTCATTGTAATAATGAATTTTCCCTAGTTACAGAGGGCGGAAAAGGAGAAAATTGATCTGCAGCTAAATGTTCCTCGTATACAGTTTATTCAATGAAACCGTCATTGTGTATTTTACCGTTTTGTGGTTGCAGTGGAACTACAATTATTAGCAGTGAGTACATGAACCCTTTAACTGACTTAAGTTAAAATATACTGCTAAATTATTCTATTGTCAAAAAAGTTTTTCAACTTAAAACCTTAAGTACCAATGCGGTTTCGTTCCATACAGTTAATGACTTAAATAGAACAAGAAAAGAAAGCTGGTCTTCCCAACTGTTCTCCAGACAATTGCTAAATTGATATTTTCAGCGCACTGACAATCATTATGTTTGAGACCTATGTTCAGGATGGTCCTCGTTACACACCTGAAAGATTAATTTTGCAGATGTCACAAAATCCACTGCTGCAGCTTTTTTGCCCAAACATGTTCTTGTTTAGGATTTTTTATAAAATATGTCAAGGATATAGGTTTCAATCAGACCGTACAGGTACCTGTCAAAGAAATGGTATCATAGCGAGCATCCAACTAGTGTATCGACTGTTGTAACACTAAAATGGTAGAAGGTCAATTCTTACATTATATATGTAATAATATAGACTCCTTAGTCAAAATTTTGACAAAATTAGCTTCTCACTGCAGTTAATGCTACTGACGATTCAACTCACACCACCTGCATTTTATAATCACAATCAACTTAACAAATAAAATACTGTATAATGGGAAACTCAGCCATTGAATGAAATGTTTGGCCTTCACCGGTTAAAACATATTCACACAGCGATCATTTTGACCTTCACATTTGAAACATTGTGTGCTGTACACCAACATCTGCCATCACAATAAACTTGCCCTCACTACGGAAATTATGGCTAAAAATTGGACTGTGGCGTAACATTTCCCTCTAAATACAATGCAAGAACAAAAGTTACCCTGTGAACAGATAGAGTAAAAGAAGCTTCTTCTGGCATTTCTATGACAGGTCTGCGTACTAATGAATTAATACATCAAATTTAGGAAATCATTTTAAACTTAAGAATTTCACTTTGCCTTCTCCAAATTAGCTGATAACACAGCAGTAAGAGAATTCTTAGTCTTTGTGGAGAAATATGGATTGCTTTGTACTGAAAGTTTTCATGGAAAACTTCTCAACTAAATGCTTAAATGATTTTGGTCAAATGAATGAATGGATGATAATGAATGAAGAGTGAATATTTTTGTTTAACAGAGATTCTGACATTTATTTTGTATAATTGTCACCATTATGCACATGTGAAACCGGACCTATTACCAGTAGATGCTTATTTCTATTCATTCTGAAGAAAAAATATGTTAGATGCTTTAACAAAAGTTTGGTGTTGAAGAACTTGTATATTCACAGCTCGCAGCACTTTCTTTAGTGGAAATAAAATTACTTTGAAACCCAAACATATATGAACACAAATAAAAAAAATAAGTGATGTCAAATGACTTTATACAGATATTTTTTGAAGAATTAGAACAAATTAATACACAAAAACAAACTCTTTCTAAGTAATAAATATTAAATCTATAGTTGAACTGTGTCCACTTTGAAAAATTCATTAAAAGTATAATTTACTGTCTAAGTCTATCACCCACAATCTCTTGATATTTTATTTCATTTACAGCAAAAATGTTATGGGAAAATTTAAACAATGTATCCCTTAATTTCACCCAGACAACCTGCAGTAGCATGCATAATAAGACTGAGGCTGTGAAACAAGTACGGGAATGGGAATGACTAAGCATTGTTTAGTGGTATAAAGTAACCATCTGTCATCTACAGGATTTGGTCTGGCCACAGACATTGTGTATAACATGTTATGGCCACCTGAGATATGTCTGGTAAGGAATTCAATACCAACACTTAACACATGAAAGAGTGATGTATGTCTTACTGCTCTGCTGCAAAATGTTTAAGGCTAACACTATTCTCCCTTGATCACTTCCTGCTACAAGTACTTCTGTAGAATGGTTACTTGGCACAGCCGTTTCATTTTACAAGCAGAATACAACTTTCTCTTGCCAATGCCACTGAGCTGTTTATCTTGTAGCTATTTCGCTGACTTGGACCATGTGTCTTGGATTCTCCATCAGTCACAGAAACCTCCTAGATTGGACCTCATCAATTCCCAGCTTTACCCTGCAGCACTCATCATGTAAATAAAGAAGAGTCTGCACTCTGTGAAGGTCTATAGCTTAGAGCCCACTTGACTCGTGATATTTAGTCCCTGTTGAAATCACAAGGTCATCAGGTTACACCTATGCAGCCATTATCTGTCAAGAAGCTCATGATCTTGCGTCGATGGGTTTTGTCAAGCCCACTTGTCGTAGCCAGGGAAGGCTGCCATTTCCTTGCTATCGTTCTCCTCATCTTCATCTTTTGATTCCGAAACAACGAAAGTATTGAAAACATAATACAAAATGTAAGAAGGATTGCATGATAAAACCTAATTTTGTTGTTGATAACACCTGTGTAATGCTAATTGACAGATCACTGATTTTTAACCCACCTAATCAGACAAGTGTAAACTAAAATATTTATAGCTTGCAAGCCATTTCAGGTAATCAGGACATCAAAATTGTTCTCAGTAATGTTGCAAAACAGTATCAAAATAACTCCGGTCAAAACCAGTGGCAGAGTGGATAAGCTGCCAGTCTGGTTATCAAGGATTCCGGAGAATGAATCCCAAATTCTAGATGATTCGGTATGCTATGGTTTCGGTACTAAGAATGAAATGTGTTGGTACTTTTTGGTAAAGAAAAAACAAAGCTTGAGAATCCTAGAATATGAAATCAGCAACACGCATGACACAAAATGCAAACAAATACAATGTTTAAACGTTGTTCATAAAGCTGAAAATCTTATAAAATAAGATATTAGAACAATTTTTGGAGAGGTCCAAATGTTTTAAACCAGAACTGAAACATCTCATTACCACAATGACAGTGTATTGAAACATCTGTAATCTTTAATCCCTGTAGCAGAGTCAATATATTTCTTGTAGAAGAGAAAAATGTTAATTTTCACCGAGAATACTGATCATGCCATGGAAGTTTTGATTCAAAGCTTATCAACACCATTAAACTTACCTTCGTCGTCTATAAGTATATCTAATTTTTCTCTGAAAAGAAAAACAACAATGTATTAGCTATGTGTTCCTCCAGATGATAACAAGAGCTTCAACTTTAAAACCTATCTGAAATAGCTCTAACATTTCACACAAAAATATATACTGCATACCTATATACAATGTTGTTAAAAACTGACCAACAGATCTGGGATTGGTACTTTTTGTGGTATCAAAATCTTCAACGTGAATGAATTTGAAAGAAGTCTGAACATGCACATGATTCTAATCTGAACTTTATGCTTATTAATTCAGTTTAACAAGAAATATGTAACACTTTGTGTTCAACTGCTCCAAACTTTCCCTATTAACTCATTCACCCATGAAGACACATTTGAACCCTTCCAATTCAAAGGTTAGAATGGTTCATTATGAAATTTCAGGGGTGAATGAGTTATGAGTTTGTAGAAAGCAAGAGTGAAGGGCAGTAGGTGACCTATTAACAGTTAACAGACAGCACTATACAGGAGATGGAATGTAATGGCTGGTAAGGGACTAGACTTACTCTATATAGAGTTTACAGAAAGCACTGTACAAGACTTAATCTATGACAGCCGTAAAGGCACTAGACTTTCTCTGACGATGGCTGTAAAGTTACTAGACTTGCTCTATGACGGCTGTAAAGGGACTATACTTACTCTATGAGGGCTGGAAAGGGACTTTACTTATTCTATTACGGCTGTAAAGGGACTTTCTTACTCTATGACAGCTGTAAAGGCACTAGACTTGCTCTATGACGGCTGTAAACGGACTAGACTTACTCTATGACGGCTTTAAAGGGACTAGACTTACTCTATGACGGCGGCAGCTTTTTTTTGAGACCATTGATCCTTTCTTGATTAGCGGCGAGCAGTTGCCCTGTAAAACACATAACCAAGCACAACTTCTGTTAACATGGAATATCTAAAGTCAACCACTACCAGTCATGATTCTGTGACTCTGATGACAGACACTGGTGGCTCATACAATTTTTCAGCCATCAGAAGCACATTAAACTTTCACTTTGTAGCATCCAAATAAGCAAGTCTAATGTTGTGTTCTTTAATGAAACTACCCTGTGATAAAAATGGTAGTTATGATTTCTGTGTACTTGCTCTGATTGGCCTTATACAGTGAAGGTCCATCATGAGTACATACTGCCGGCAGTACTGAGACGATTCCTTGTTTAAGTAGAATCACTGTATCAATGAATCAAGTCTACGTTTTGCAGTCAAAAAAGAAATTGCTGATCACTTTTTTTTAAACATTCAGCATTTAGGAGGAAAGCTAAATGTACACACATACGTACAGAGTTTGGAAATTGGTGAACTGAGATATCCACAATACATCCATCAGAGGAACCATATACATAAACTTCAGTAAGCACAATGATAATTTAGAGCACTATTTAAAGTACAAAAGAGCAATTAAATTGTTACCATACAGAAAATACCAGGTATGACACTGATTGTTACCTTACAGAAAATACCAGGTATAACACCGATTGTTACCTTACAGAAAATACCAGGTATGACATCGATTGTTACCTTACAGAAAATACCAGGTATGACACTGATTGTGACCTTACTGAAAATACCAGGTATGACACCGATTGTTACCTAACAGAAAATACCAGGTATGACAATGATTGTTACCTAACAGAAAATACCAGGTATGACACCGATTGTTATATTACAGAAAATACCAGGTATGTCGCTGATTGTTACCTTACAAAAAATACTAGGTATGACACTGATTGTTACTTTACAGAAAATACCAGGTATGACACTGATTGTTACCTTACAGAAAATACCAGGTATGACACTGATTGTGACCTTACAGAAAATACTAGGTATGACACTGATTGTTACCTAACAGAAAATACCAGGTATGGCACTGATTGTTACCTAACAGAAAATACCAGGTATGACACTGATTGTTACCTTACAGAAAATACCAGGTATGACACTAATTGTTACCTAACAGAAAATACCAGGTATGACACCGATTTTGTTACTTAACAGAAAATACCAGGTATGACACTGATTGTTACCTTACAGAAAACAGAAAATACAAGGTATGACGCTGATTGTTACCTTACAGAACATACCAGGTATGACACTGATTGCTACCATACAGAAAATACTAGGTATGCCCCCGATTGTTACCTTACAGAAAATTCCAGGTATGACACTGATTGCTACCATACAGAAAATACTAGGTATGCCCCCGATTGTTACCTTACAGAAAACAGAAAATACAAGGTATGACGCTGATTGTTACCTTACAGAAAATACTAGGTATAACACTAATTGGTACCTTACAGAAAACAGAAAATACAAGGTATGACGCTGATTGTTACCTTACAGAAAATACCAGGTATGACACTGATTTTGACCTTACAGAAAATACCAGGTTTGACACTGATTGCTACCTTACAAAAAAATACCAGGTATGACTCTAATTGTTACCTTACAGAAAATGCCAGGTAGGTGATAAACTGTACATATTTTATTTTACAACCATGTATTATAATCTTTATAAATTAAAGGTTTATATTCAGAAAGTCTACTTTGTATAGTTGTGCATAATTAGCTCTTGTGCGATACAATTTGATTATCTTCAGAGATCCTTTGGCCAGATATTCATGAATGGTTTTCACTCTCTCCCTGTATAGAAAAAAAAACATGATGGTAGGATGTTAACTGATCTATACAGGCAAACAACCAGAATAGACATAAAACATTTCATCATATATTTGTATGTGATATGTGGTTGTTTTGCATGTGTGATACTACTAGCTGTTCATAGGCCATATCCCGCACCAGTCGTAACCACCCAGCATGTGTCATATCTGCCCGGCACACGTCATTTCCATTTAGTTTACAGTTCAACACTTTTCGGAAAGATCATACCTCAATCATCAGACAGTGAGTAAAACAAACAGGTCACAGATAAAAAAAAAATTGAGTCAGACTATGACTTCATAATAATTATAGAGCAGTATACGATAGCATATCTACGTTTTTATCATATGTTGTCATATTTGTACCATATGAACACTTCCATATAATATGGAAAAAGTCATATCATAACCTCTAATAATAGCCACCCAGGTCAATATTGTCATTTCTTATTTCCTTTCTACTGAGGATGTACCAACTATCAATGTGAAATTCTGTATGGAAGTCAGTGTATCACTGATTTGATGTTTATAACATTGATTTCATTCAAACCACGAGCTCCAATGATTATCAAAAAAAGTTCATTTACGTAGTTTATTATACCCCCGCAACGAAGTAAGGGTGAAGGGGGGGGGGGTATACTGGAATCAGCTTGTCTGTCCATCTGTCTGCCGTAGAAAAAGTTTGTCCAGACAACTCCTTCTAAAGTAACCAAAACTATGTGGCCAATTTCAACAGAAATTTACAGATATGGTAACTGCCCCCTAATATTGTGCATCCAAGTATGTAGCATGTTTTCATTCTGACCCTTTAAGCAGAGATGCAAATAATATTATTTTAGCAGAGATAAGGAAATATCAAATTCTTTTGTACAAACAGAATGTATTTTTAGATATTATATTGATGGCAGATTATTTGAAAATATAAGAGGCTTGCCTATACATACCTCAGTCGTTTAATTGTCTGGGCTTGCCTATGCATACCTCAGTCGTTTAATTGCCTGGGCTTGCCTATACATACCTCAGTCGTTTAATTGTCTGGGCTTGCCTGTATATACCTCAGTCATTTAATTGTCTGGGCCTGCCTATACATACCTCAGTCGTTTAATTGTCTGGCATGTCTGTAGCATGTTCTCCTGGAGTTTGTCTTGACGAGACATTGCCTGGAAAAACGCGTCGGACTTGGTCGATATTTGCTTGGCTATGTGCACCTCTACTATATCTAAGTAATGACTCAACTGAAATAGAAAAAGGAGACATTATATAATTCAATTCAAACATCTCAAAATGGAGCACTCTATGAAAGAAATAAGTGTGTATGTCAACTGCACAATTATGAATTTTATGATACATAAATTGTATAATTTTGGACATGCTCCGACGGGTAAATACAATAAGCTAATCCTATATGGAAACATTTCCCCAATCAAAAACTTGCCTTTTACACAGGCACAAAACCTCTATTTGCCCAATGGTCAATTTGTCCTTTATATAGCCCTGATAAATCTGCAGCTATTACAGAGGGCAAAACAGGCAATTTAGTTAAACTGTGACAAACAAAAATTAGGAATACATTATGTATTATGAAGGGTTCCTTTGATAACACTTAAATGTGTAAGGAAAATATCACAATAAATCTGATTTTTCAACATACTGGACAATTGTTCTGTTCCAGGGTAATTAACATACAGGTAAATGCGTGTTAAGTACCAATTATTTTACTTGGCGTTAAGGTTACAATAGAATCCTTTTATCTGGAAGTGTATGGCACCATGAAAACAATTTAAGATAATTATGCTGTCCAAGGCATGAAATTCATCAACATACATGTACCAGAACTGACCAAAATATCACTTAGGTTAATACTATGTACCGGGAAACTCCTTCCCAGTTCGCCCTTCACTGGTAACATCTGTATTCTCCCAGTGCGAGTTTCACCCTTCACATGCAATTACTGTATTGAGTATGCAGTGTAGTAGTATTAACTGTCATGATAAATTTTCCCTCAAATCTCCAGGACAAAAAAGGCGGAAGTTAAACTGTGGTATACAGATTCCAGTAATGATTTGAGGTAAACAAGTTTGTCATTGAAAGGATAGATAACAACGCCCTTTCATGTTTCAAACTGTGTCAGATTTAATTCATCGGTTTGCCTTCTACTTATAGCAACAGTTCTATAATTCTGAATGGATTATGTTTGTCATACTCTCATAGCTGCAAATATTTTTTCTGTTGTTCCATTTTATCATTTTTTATTAACTTTGGTACACAGCTAGCAATTACATTAGATTAGGAGACAATTCAACGTATCGTTGTTGTGAATTATAACAATAGCTTTGATTCCCTTTCGGTCAGACAGACATTCCTCACTCACCTTTTCCTGGAGGAGCTTTGACGACTGCGGTCCAGAAGATGTAGGACCAGAAGGCTTGGAATGATTTTTTGACTCAATCTGTTGCCATGGAAACACAGCATTGAAAGTATCACTATTTCCCAGTTCAAAGTTTGGTAAAAGGAAGAGCTGGAAGGATAATGACAAAACACAGTATCAATCCATGAATGACAGCAAAGTAATATCTATTCCTACTATAATCAACCTTTGTACTTTTGTCTTGCTAGCCATGACTTATATTGTAACATTTAATATCATTATATATGTAATCGGTCTTTTCTGATTTCTGTAAATCCCACAAACCTTCAAAACACCAGACAAATAAGTATAATTACCATATACTGCTTTAATGGAATTGTGGAATTAAACTTTTGAAAAAAAGTTGCGGAGAGTTTTTTTTAGAAAAGTTATGTATCACAACCAGTAAGTGTTTTTATGTGACGTTTAGATGACTAGTACGATACGTACCCTACCACCTTCATAGGACAAATGACCAGTGAAGCGTATGTACACAAAGGTGTAAAATATGTACGAGTTGGCAATATCAAATCAAAGTCAATTTGGATATGCAGAGAGTTAAGTCTGCACCAAACTACTTTCTACAAATGATATTTAAGTATGGTTTTCAAATGGTTAATAGTTTGGAGGATTTCAGAATTCCCTGTTGGTTTTATGTCTTTCAATATAGCAAAAAATCAACCCTCACTTTACATAGTTATTAAACAGTATGTGCTTTAGTGCAATACACCACTTTGGTTTTCTTTAAAATACTTAGCAATCAAAGTACAGATTTGAATTCTGCAAGCAGTTTCTTTGCAGTGAAAGTAAAAGAATATCCCTGACACTCAATGTGTATGTGCAAATAACTTACTTTGGGTATCTGTTGTAACTCAGCTCTGTTCTTTTCTAAAAAAAAATATAAAAAATATTTATTAAATGTATTTGTTTGCATGCACAGGACACCAATGAAGTTAAAATCGAGATCTTCGTTATAAAACAAAACATGCATACTTTTTGTGTAACAAACAATACTAACTAAAACACAGTACAACTCTGTACAGTAGCATTATGATGATCTATTAATAACGGAAGGCACGAGTTTCTTCAGATATATCTACAAAACTATTAAAGCAAATACATAGATTTGTTAATTGACAATGTATATTACAGATGAATATATAGAGGATATCTAATAGTGTCTTCATTACCATGGCAGGTAATGGATCTGATTATTCTTGGCAGTAAAATGAACTTATGTCTCAGACGGATTTTCTTGAGGCCTGCACATCATTAAGCTAACCAGGCTATGACCATATGGACCACTTATAATTTTTCTCATGGTAGTTTGTAATCAGTGTCTTGATTGGTCAAATCAGTAAAAGCAATATTCTTTCATTAGTAAATTATCACTTTTCTAGAATACCGGGTAAGTAATTTTCGATATTTCACTGGTAAAAATGTAATAAAGACATGTATTTTAATCAGATTGATAAGTAACTGTGTTCTGGCTGTTGTGTTGACTTACCAAGCTGCTGTAAGAAGGTTTCCCCACCAGGAGACTCTTGAAGGAACTGAGTATATTTATGGACATGCTTCTTGTATCTCTGTAAAATAAAGTGATCCGAATTCAGATCCTTGACTCAATTTCCTGTTGTAATATTGCCATTAATAAAAGTTTGCAACATATCTTTTCGATTTGCTTCTGCTGTTACTTTATGTATGGTGATGTATATCGTATCATCACGTTAATGTATCGTTGCAGCCATTAAGGGACCTACACATACAAAGATGGACAGAACGCACACACGGGTGATGGTACCTTTGACATTTGGTTATAGATACAGTGTGCCAAATATGAATCACACCACATCATAGAGCTAACAAATAAGATCACCATCAAAGCAAAAGTTGTCAGTGTGATGTTAATGCGACCCGTTTACTTGACACAGGACACAGACACTAGGATGCCTTATAAGCAAGATTTAACAGTCAAAGTAAGCCTTTTTTACTGCCTCTGTAAATGTTCGACAAACTGTCACTTCTAAGTTATTTTAGATTATCTTCCCAAAGAAAAGTCTGAATATATTGATGCAGATTGACACATATAATCAGTTTGCTAGCACATCTGATGAAGAAGCACACTGTTACTCTTCAAATTCAAAATTCTTGGAATTAATATTGTATATTTGACAGCAGTTTTGTCTATGTATCTTTTTGCTAAGTTAGTTCGGCAATCATCAAGTTCGACTTTAGAGTTATAAACTTAAGTGAGTCAGCTAGTGCAGCGACAGTAATTACCCAATAAATAGGGCTGGAGGTTGTTACTCATCTTTGATAATAGGACTGGAGGTTGCTACTCACCTTTGATAATAGGATTGGAGGTTGCTACTCACCTTTGATAATAGGACTGGAGGTTGTTACTCACCTTTGATAATAGGACTGGAGCTAGGTTGCTACTCACCGTTGATACCAGGACTGGAGGTTGTTACTCACCTTTGATAATAGGACTGGAGGTTGCTACTCACCTTTGATAATAGGACTGGAGATTGTTACTCACCGTTGATGATAGGACTGGAGGTTGTCACTCACCTTTGATAATAGGACTGGAGGTTGCTACTCACCTTTGATAATAGGACTAGAGATTGTAACTCACCGTTGATAATAGGACTGGAGGTTGCTACTCACCTTTGATAATAGGACTGGAGGTTGTTACTCACCGTTGATAATAGGACTGGAGATTGTTACTCACCTTTGATACTCTATGTCTATACTTCTGAAAATGCTCTCTTGAAATGTGAACCAAATATGGCGAAGGTGGAACCTCTGTTCTTTCATAAAAATCTTGACCCCAAGTTTTTGTGAAAAAGTCATATTCCCGCTTTGAACGCAGAGGATCATTAAGTGCCGCTGGAAGGTTCACAGAAGATTTGTATATTGTCCATTTGTGTTGATCTTGGACCACACTTGGTTCCTCTTTTTTGTGATTATCAGACACATGTAATGCCATCACTCCAGCACTGTCCTTTTGACCTGCAGTAGAAAATAAAGAATAATTTTTAAAACATCAGATAAAGATATATAATGTATCTTTTATAGTATACATGTACATTTCTCATACTTAATGCTTGAATGTTATAGCTAAATTTTACTCATTAAGATACAATTTCTATAACTACAAATGGCTTAACATAGGATTGTAAACATCAAATTTTACTAGCAATAGACTGGAATACTATTCAACGTTTTTCAAACGCTCATTTTTGGAAAGATGTACGTATATACAAATGCAAGGAATCCAATTATCAATATCCCAGGGATAATCCTAGAGGGGGCCATTGACCCCTCAAAACTGAAATTGACCCCTCCATGTTCCAATTTTCTTTTTAATTTTACATAGAATGGCTCCTCTTACTTTTGATATTGACTGAAAATTGCTGAAATGATCCACTGCTCTCAAATTTAAGGATTTCCCCTGATATCCCTCATGGCTGTTAATTCCTCATTAAACATTCCGGAATTTTTTTTTGATGTTGATTCTACTGCTATTTTGAGGAATAAGTTCATGATAAGGTACTAATGACAGCCTTGCATATACAATGTAGCAAATGTCTTTGGCCTTTGATATGGAGCAAGATTACTTCAATACGTCTCTCTGACTTAATACATGTGCAACACGACAAGGAAAATGAACAGGTGTAATTTTCGATTTGACCCTCAAAGTCCATACCATGTGTATATTATATGTATATAATACACCAGAAGTGGTATGCAAATTATTGGAAGAAGAAATTGTGGAATGTCTAAGATTTCTAACATAACGTGGGTTATGTTTTACTACTAACTTGTCGGGTATGAGAATTACACAACCAACAGCTACATGATGTTGACTTCGGTTATCTGATTTGTTACGTACCTATACCACGTTGTTGATGGGAAAGGACATGGTCCCTAGCTATGTGGTTTTCATAGTCCATGTCACTCACCCCCTCTAACGGCAGGGAGGGACATACATTATTCAGTCCATACCTGCAAACAAAAGAACCACCCTCTTTTGAACAGTGAAAATCTCTTAAATGACTCGTGAAATCCGCAGCTGATTTGAAAGGAAGTTGACACAATAAACACTTTCTCCGTGGCCTGGCCCCGTGTCCCTCACCGGTTATGTTCGGATTTGAGATCGCATAATTTATGGTGGCCATAACGGCTTTAGATACGATTACATTGCTGCTTCTACTGTTAATTCAAAAGTTTATGAATGCTGTAGGGGATCTGTGTTGCTAATAAGCATTGATAAAATTGTATGACTAGTAAAGTATCACTGCTATCTCCGAAATGAAGTTTGTACCCCTTTTCATCTGTCGCCATAATACATTTCTACGTACTTCCGGTTTGTATAATTTGACGGCTAAGGGTTCCGCTGACTGGCAAAATGTTCCGGATATATTAAGTAAGACGACTGGTCGTGATTAGTTTTAAACTGCTACATACTGATGATAAGAGCATCCAGTTATGATAGAATTAATGAATATATTCTGTTCTTCTTTTCTTCCTTCAAAATAAACTTTAAAGCATAATTGTGTTAACACCCACGAGTTACCTCCCGTTAAACGGTCATCATGGTTTTCACATTTTAAAATAATGTCATGGGTACACTGAAGTTTCATACTAATAATCACACGAATGAAAACGCAAACTAATTAAAATCATATCTTCACATCGCTCCCGTTTATTGATATGTCAACGCGAGCCGACATATCAGTAAACGGGAACGATGTGAAGGGTTATAATTCTATATTAGATTAATGAAAACGTTGCCGTTTATTTTTAATGCATTATTTTGAAATATCATTTCGTGTGACTAAGACCATTCAGACAAAAGAGTTCGTGCAGTTTCCAAAAGTATATTTCAAAATTTGTTAGCGGGTTTTTATGGGATTTGCCAGAGGCCACTGGTAATTATATCAACAATAATTACCTCCAGACAACCAGTTATTGTTTAAATAATTACATTGTGCTGTATTTGCAAGTACAATTCTGGATATGTTTATCAATAAGAAAAACAAAATCGATGTAGTAAAAGCCATGAAATCTATATAGATGATGGAGCTCCGAGCGCAAAGCTATTTATAAGGGACAACTCGTACTTTTTTTGCATTTCGAAAGTTCCGGATTAGTGAAACCAACTTAAGTCTATGGGAAAAACAAAATATCCATGCGATTTCCCGATTGTCCCAGCTACACAGCGACAACAAAATATAAAGTCTAAGGATTTTACGTTATGTGTTAATAAAATTCTTGCGGAAAATAGAAATAAAGATCAAAATGCAAGTGTACTTTCAAGCTTAGTTCAATCAAAAACATTCACAATTTTATACCCGCCCACTGAAGTGTATCTTTCAATCAATCAAGGTGGCGCCATTTTTCACAGCTAATCAGTTTCTCTCAAATCTGATTACAATCTAGAGCATGCGCATACATATGACTTGTCGGGAAGGAAGGCAGACATTTTGAAAAGATTGGAACAGTTGAAATTTGAAAGAAGAAAAAACAACAATATATAGTGTAAGAAGAGGAATAAAAGGTATAGCATAGGAAAAATCTTAACCAAGGTTTTCTCCAAATCGTTCGTAAAAAAATTCCCAACAATATCATGGATAGATATCAGCTCTTTGTTTTTAATTTCAGAACGGTTTTGAGTAATACATTTTCAAAGGTAAATTTAGAAGAAAACCGGCTAACCTAAGGGAATCATACCAAAAGAGAAACATTCAGCATGCGGTATCGTATACATGCATATATACACTTTAAACTGTTTCCGTGCGGTTTCACAAGATTTGTATCCCGTCAATATCCAACATCTCCGATTACATTGGGGTTCCACTCCAATGGCGGTCGTCTGCTACAATAGGGATGCGCGTCTTGTGACCAGACTGTACTGGAACAGTTCAGATCTCACGATATGTACTGTCTTGTCCGAGTTCCACTATTTAAGTTTGTTTCATGGGTCTGCATTTTATTTATGTAATTGAAATTTAAACAGCGCTGTCGACTCATTTTCAGAAGCGTTTCTGTTTGAAACGAGCATGGAGTAAATTGACATAAATAGATGTTTTTTGATTTCACCCTTGGAACATCAAATCTATACACATCTGCTTGAATAGTTTCCGGAAGTATATTAGATATAAATGTCCGTGAATAAATTTAGTATTTATTTTTCTTGAATGTATGCTCTTATTTGGGACCAAACTGTTTCCCTGCGGTTTCACAAGATTTGTATCCCGTCAATATCCAACATGTCCGATTACATTGGGTCTCCACTCCAATGGCGGTCGTCTGCTACAATAGGGATGCGCGTCTTGTGAACAGACTTTACTGGAACAGTTCTGGTTCCACTCTCAGCTGATGTATTATCTCTTCAGTGTTCCACTGACTTCATTGATGACAGAACGGTTCTCGACATCTGTAAGTTTAGCTCAAACACTTTACACACTTCGTTTGAAACCAACATCGTGTAAATTGACAACAGGAAATGTATTTCACTTTATCGCAGGGCGTCAAACCAATAAAGATTTTCTTCATTGAACTGTTTCCGTGCGGTTTCACACGATTTTTATCCCGTCAATATCCAACATGTCCGATTACATTTGGTCTCCACTCCAATGACGGTCGTCTGCTACAATAGGGATGCTTGTTTTGTGACCAGACTGTATTGGAACAGTTTCACTCTCATCATGGGTATTATCTCGTCCGAGTATTTCAACGTTGTCGACATATGTCAAAGAGCAATGGCTCCACACACTCCGTTGCAAACCAACATAGCGGAAGTTATTTTGTATTTTATTGCAGGGTGTCAAATCGATAAAGATATTTTATTCATATTTGTTGTTTGTAAATGTAATCTGTAAACTGTTTCCGTGCGGTTACACAAGGTTTGTATCCCGTCAATATCCTTTTTAATATGTATGTTGTCGGAGATTCTCATGGATTCAAGGGAGTGAAAATTGAAAGACTGCAGTAGTGCTTAGACGATAGACAATGGTGAGTGATCGTTTAAGTGATTTAGCAATACACACCAATTTTTATTTTATTGAATAAATCAACCCTGCGTGTATGGGCCAATATATCATGTCATGCAGAGCGAATGCAACATTGTAAAAAAAGTACAAAAGGGGTATAACCCCCACCCCACCCCCACTCCCGAGTTTAACTTTTTAGCTTAAAATAAAAAATAAAAAAAAATTGAAACCAGTGTAGTTAAATGTTATTTAGTGCTATGAAAATAATTAATATTAGTATAAGAAAGATGTATCTGACCTAGATATAAACAATTTACGTGTGTTTCAGGCAGTGAGTGAGCCATGTGACACATTTATTTGCCAGTAAGGAAGTTACATAAGTATAACCACAGACACTTGGATTTAGCCAATAGAAAGTAAGTGAAAAAAGGAAGCTCCGGAATATAACCCGCCTCTATACGTTTAATTAACCGTTTTACATAACGTTCGTAAGTCAATGTCAACACATCATCCGAAAGTCAGTGTTTACACATTGTCCGGTTGTCACGTACGTCTACAAATTGTTTGTAAGTTATTCTCAACACATCGTCCGTCTGTCACTATCAGCACATAATCCGTTTGTCACTGTTTATACATCGTCCGTCTGTCACTCTCAACACATTGTCCGTCAGTCAATGTCTACACATCTTCCGACTGTCACTTCAGCGCATCGTCCGTCTGTCACTCACAACACATTGTCCGTCAGTCAATGTATACACATATTCCGTCTATCACTCTCAACACATCGTCCGTCTGTCACTCTCAACACATCGTCCGTCTGTCACTGTCTTACCATTCTTCGACAGTCACTGTCGGTGAGTCATTGTGCACACATTGTCCGCCTGTCACTTTAAGACATCGTCCATTTGTGATTGACAACATATCGTTCTGTGGTAACTGTTCACTGTTAAAAAATCATATGTCAGTCACTGTCACCACATCGTCCGTCAGTCCAAGTTAACAAACCATCCGTCAATCACTTAACTTATCGTCTGTCAGTCACATTCAAGACAACGTTCGAAAGTCACTGTCCACTCATTGTCCGCCTGTCACTGTCTAGTCTCTATCTACTCCTTTTCCGTTTGTTAGTGTCTATTTATCGTCCGTCTGTCACTGTTTAACAAACATCTGGTGCCTGTCACTTCCAGCTCATCGTTCAAATGCCACTGTTTACTCATCGTCCGTCAATCACCGTCAACAAATCGTCCGAAAATAAATGTCTACACTCCGCCTTTCAGTCATTCTCAACACATCGTCCGAAAGTCAATGTCTAACATCTCCCGATAGTTACTGTCAACATATCGTCTGCCTGTCACTAAAACACATCATCCGACAGTCACTGTCAGCTCATTGTCTGTAAGTTACTCTCAACACATCTTCAGTCTGTCACGATCAACACATCTTCCGACATCCACTGTATACTCATTGTCCGTCAGTCACCGTCAACAAATCGTCCGAAAGTTACTGTCTATACATCGTCCGTCCGTCACTGTTTTATACATCGTCTGTCAGTCGCTGTCTCAGCATCGCCCGTCAGTCATTGTAGATACATATGGTCCGTCTGTCAATGTCAAATTGTCAACACATTATCCGACAGTCACTGTCTTCATTTTGTCCGTCTGTCACTTTCAACATATCGTCTGTCTGACACTGTCAACTCATTGTCTGAAAGTTATTCTCAACACATTGTCCGTCTGTAACTGTCAACACATCGTGCGACAGCTATTGTCAACATATGGTCCATCAGTCACAGTCAAAACAACGTTCGAAAGTCACTGTCTACTCATTGTCAGCCTGTCACTGTCTAAACATCCGTCAGTCACTGTTTCAAACATCGTCCGACAGACACTGTCTCAACATACGCCCGACAGTCACTGTCTAAACGTCGACCGCAAGTCATTGTCTCATCTGTCGATACACATTGTCCGTCTGTCGCTGTCAAGTTGTCAGCACCTTATCCGACAGTCACTGTCAACTCATCGCCCGTCTGTCACTGTCAACTCAATGTCTTACAGTTACTCTCAACACATTGTTCGTCAGTCACTGTCTAAACATCTGGTGTCTGTAACTTCCAGCTCATCGTCTGTCTTTGACTGTCTAAACATCGTTCAAACGCCACTGTTTTCTCATCGTCCGTCAGTTACTGTCAACACATCGTCCGTCTGTTACGGATTACAAATCGCCCCTGAGTCAATATATGTGCATTGTGTGGTAGTCGTTAATCACACATCGTCCGAAAGTCAATGTCATCCCATCACCCAACATTAACGGTAAATACATCGTC